AACTACAGAAAATAAATACTACATGATAAGAAACTTAAAAACAACCCCCAGAGCTCTCAAATAGATGTAGCTCTCCAGAAAAGCAATTAATCAAATAAAAATAAAGAACAAATTTAATTTATTAAACAAATAAAATTACTGGAATTAACATCTCTCCATAATAACTCTGACTGTGAATGGTCTCAATTCTTCTCAGAGGTGGGCAGAATGAATTTAAACAACAGAACCCAACTATACATTGTTTCCAAGAGACTCTTATAGGCAAAGATATCTATAGACTGGAAGTGAAAGAATAGAAAAAGATACCTGATGCAAGTAGAGTTTGAAAACAAGCAGGAATACTTATTCTTGTATCTAACAAATCAAACTTCAAGCAAAAAATAATCAGAAGAAATCACATCATTTGCTGGTAAATGGAGTGAGTCCATGCTGAACAAAATAAGTGAAACTCAGAAAGACAAGGGTGAAATGCTTTCTCTCATGTGCAGAAGCTAGAGAAGAAAAATAAATTCAAGAGGAGATCTCATGAAAATAGAAGAGAGATCAGGAGAGTAGAAGCAAGAAACCAAAGGGGTGGGAGGAGGAAAGGGAAAGGGGAATGCGAAATAGAGTTGACAAATTAGACTAGGTGAATTTATGGTGAGACCACAATGTATTATAACTTTATATATGATTATAAGGCATTAATTAAAAAAATAAGTAGAAGAGAGACCAAGAGAGGAGAGAAAGGAATAAAAAGGAGGGAGATGGGGAAGAAAGGGGTAATACTGGAGATTGGAATAGTTTAAAACTATGGTATATGCATTTATAAATATGTTGAAATAAATCCCACTATTACATATAACTACAATGCACTAAAAAAATAAAAAATTTAATCTTAAGAGACAAGGAAAACTATTACATATAATTAAAGAGAATAATCCAACAAGAAGCTATAATGATAGTAAATATTTATGCCCCAAATGTTGGTGTACTTAATTACATAAAACAAACACTTATTGACTTTAAATCCCAGATAGAAACTAATATAATAATACTTGGTATTTCAACACATACCTCTCAACATGCAACAGGTCATGCAGATATAAAATCAATAAAGACACTTCTGTCCTAAATAATTGTATAAACCAATTGGACCTAACAGTCTTCTATAGAATATTTCACTAAACAAGAACTGAATGCATTTTCTTCTCAATATCTCATTGAATATTTTCCAAAATAGACCATATTTTAAGACACAAAGCAAATACAAATTGCCGTAGTCCAGCTAGGCTGCCCAAGTCTGGCTAGGCAAAATAACCAAGAGGTAACAAGCAACTTGAAGGTTGAAGCAGGAACTACTTTATTGCCAGTGAACTCAGCAGGAACTGAGAACTCAAAGTAGCGGGCACCCAGGGTAGCAGGAGCCGCCTCTCTGCCGAACTGTAGAGGTACATATACCCAACTAATTACACACAGCTTAACTTGACACAGCAGTCAGTCATTAAGGAATCCTCATCATCTTAATGGCTTGCTGGCGTTACTTCACAAACCACTCCTCTTGGCATACTGCCAGGTGCCATCTTAACTTGGTTGTGGCCCTCATCAACAAGTCTTAGCAAATAGAAAAAAAAAAAACTATCCCATGCATCTTGTCAGATCATAATGGATTGACATTAGAAATCAACAGCAAGAAAATTTATGGAAATCACATAAACACATGAAGATTGACCAATATTTTTTTTAACAAGGAATGAATCACATTTTAAAAAATGAAAGGAAATATTTATAAATTCCTAGAATCAAATGAGAACAGCAATACAACACAAAAAAACCTGAGATACTATGAAGAGGATATTAAGAGGAAAGTTTATAGCGTTAAGTGACCACATTAAACAAAAGAATAAAGATTCCAAATAAACAGCGAATGCTGCATCTCAAGACCATAGAAAAGCAGAAATAAACTAATCCCAAGACCAGAAGAAGACAGAAAATAATTAACATCAGAGCTGAAATTAAAATAGAGGACTAAAAAATAAACTACAAAGGATCAATGCAACATAGAGGTGGTAACTTGAAAATATAAATAATATCAATAAACCCCTAGTCAAACTAACCAAAAAAAAATTAGAAGACACAAATCAACAAAATTTGAGATGAAAAAGGAGATTCATTACAGCAATTGATGAAATCCAGAAAATCATTAGGGACAATTGAAAACACATGTAACAATAAATTGGAAAATCTAGATGATATTGACAACTTTCTAGACCCATATGACCTATTCAAATTGAACCAAGAGGATATAGAAAACCTCAACAGAACAATAGAGCAGTGAGATTGCAAAGAGCAATGAAATTAAAGCCACAATAAAAAGCCTTCCAAAAAAGAAAAGCCCAGGAATACATGGATTCTCAGCTGAGTTTCACCAGATCTTTAAAGAAGAACTAACACTAAATTATTCCATGAAATAAAAAAGGAGGGAACACTGCCGAATTCACTCTATGAAGCCAGTATCACCTTGATGTCGAAACAGATAAAGACACATCAGGGAAAGAAAACTGCAGACCAATACCCTTGATGATCACATATGCAAAAAACATTAATAAAATGTTAGCAAGCCACATTCAAAAACACATTAAGAAGATTATATACCAGGATCAAGTTGGTTTCATCCCAGGGATGCAAGCTTGATTCAATATGCACAAACCAAAAATGCAATTCATCACATACATAGAATCAAGGACAAAAATAAATGCAGAAAAAAAGTCTTAGACAAACTTCATCACCCATCACCCATTTATATTAAAAACACCAGAGAAACCAGGAACAGAAGGAACTTACCTCAACATCATAAAGGCTATACATGACAAACTCAAAGCCAACATCATACTGAACAAAGAAATACAAAGCATTTCCTCTAAAATCTAGAACAAGACAAGGATGTCAATTCTCACCACTCCCTTTCAATAAAGTTCTTGAAATTGATCAAAGCAATCCGGCAAGAGAAGAAAATTACAGGGCTACAAATAGGAAAAAAAGTCAAATTCTTTTTGTTTGCTGATGACATGATTCTAACCCTAGAAGATCCAAAAAACACTACCAGAGAATTTCTAGATCAATAAATTCAGCAAAGTGGTAGGAAACAAGATCAACATAAAAAAAATGGCTTTCTTATACTCCAATAATGGATCTGCTGACAAAAAAAAAAAAAAAATTCCATTCAAAATAACCTAAAAACAAACAAGAAAAAAAAACCCTAGGAAAAAAATCTAACTAAAGAGGTAGAAGAATTCTATAATGAAAATTATAAAATACTGAAGAAAGAGAATGAAGAAGATTCTAGGAGATGCAAAGACCTACCATGTTCATGAATAGGTATAGGTAATATCAAAATGGCTATATTGTAGGAATGATAGCAGAATGAATTGGACATTATTACCCTATGTGCATATATAATTACACAAATGGTTTAACTCTACATCATATACAACCAGAAGAATGAGAGGTTGTATCTCATTTATGTATGGTGTGTCAAAACACATTCTACTGTCATGTATAACTAAGTAGAACAAATTTTTAGAATGACCATATTACCAAAAGTAATCTACAGATTCAATGCAATCTCCATCAAAATACCAATGACATTCTGCACAAAACTGGAAAAAAAAAGCAGTCTTAAAATTTATATGGAAGAACAAAAGACCCAGAATAGCTGAAGAAATCCTAAACAACGAGAGCAAGAAGAAAATATGGTGTCAATACTTCAACCCATTGACTCAGACACTGACTTCCCTAATAAGACTCCTAGAGCTCAAGAAATGAGACCAAGAATCAATAAGTGGAATAGTATTAAATTAAAAAGCTCTTTACAGTAAAGGAAATAATTTAGAGTGTGCAGAGAGATCCTACAGAATGGGAGAAAATCTTTGCCAGCCACTCTTTGATAGGAAATTAATAATCAGAATATATAAAGAACTCAAAAATCTTTAAAAATCTTGCCACCAAAACCACCAATCAACCACTCAATAAATGGGTAACATCTCTCAAAAGAAAAAAAAATACAAACGACCAACAAATACACACACACACAAAAAAAAAAAAAAATGTTCAACACCCTGAACAATCAGGGAGATACAAATCAAAACTACACTGAGATTTCATCTCACCCCAGTTAGAATATCAATCATTAAGAATACAAATGATGGTAATTGCTAGAAAGGATATAGGGAGAAAGATACTTGTACATAATTTATGAGACTGAAAATTAGTACAATCACTTTGGAAAGCAGTATGAAGAGTCCTCAAAGATTAGAAACCACCATATGACCTAGCTATCCCAAAAGAACTAAAACCAGCATACTATAGTGATATGAGCAAACACAGGTAAATGATAGCCATATACAATCCACAATAGCCAGTTATGAAATCAGTCTAGATGCTCATCAATAGATGAATGGAGGGAGTTCTACTCAACCGTTATGTCACTTGTTAGTAAATGAACCAGACCTCGTCCTAATTGAACTACGCCAAATTCACAAAGTCAAGAGTCAGATGTTTTCTCTTATATGCAAAGGCTAGTATGGAAAAAAATATTTTTTTAAAAATTGAGGTCTCATGAAAATAGAAGGGAGATTAGTAGAGTAGAATAAGGGGACTGAAGAGGAAGGAGGAGGTAAAGAAAACTGGAAGAACTGGGAAATAAAGTTTAATAAATTATGCCATGTGTATGTATGAATACATCAAAATGCATTCCAATTTCATATACAACTATAATGCCTTAATTAAAATAATTAAATAAACAGAAAGAAGATCAATAAAGGAAGAGGATGGGGAGAAAGGAGGTGAAGGAAGGGGAAAGTACTAGAGATTGAAATGGAGAAGACTATGGTATACACCTGTAGGAATATGTCAAAATGAATCCCACTATTATGTACAACTATAATGCACTAAACATAAAATTTAAAAAGCACATTGAACCTGCACAGAAATGGCTGACTTATATTTTCTGTTATACTCACAAAGATTTGCCTCCACCTGTGGGTCCCAGGATAGCATTGAGGCCAGGTTTCATGATCCCACTATAAACACAAAAAATACAAATTTATTGTTCCACTTTCAAAGAAATAATTTTCATTTAGACTCTGCATTGAATATTTTCAATGAAGGTTGGTAAAACTGTGGACAGAAAACAAGCACCAACTCTTTATTGGCGTGGGAGGGGTACCAGGGATTGAACTCCAGGCACTTGACCACTGAGCCACATCCTCAGCACATCCCCATCACCACACCCAGCTTTTTTTTTTTTGTATTTATTTAGATACAGGGTCTCACTGAGTTGCTTAGCACCTCACTATTGCTGAGCCTGGCTTTGAACATACAATCCTCCTGCCTCAACCTCCTGAGCTGCTGGGATTACAGGCATGTGCCACCAAACCTAGCCACCAACTCTTAAAGAGAAAAAAAACTGATTAATAGAAGTCTAGTATACATAGGATATGAACCACTAGTCAGAACCCATAAGAATGGTTAAGGTCCCTCTAAGTTGCTTTCATTTATCCTTGAAACTATTTATTCCTTTTTGAAAATGACATATCCAATGTCCAAGATTCCTTGAAACAAGTAAGATTTTTTTACCCATCTCTTACTCTTGTTACTCTTAACACAGTATCAAGTATGTAACAGTTTTCAAGAAATGCTTTATAATATCTTCCAATCATAGAAACCAGTAGTAGTGGTCTCACTAACAAAATCAAACAGACAAAAAATCAACATTTCTGAAGCAAAAATACAAAGGGTAGAATGAAGCACTCCCGACGATAAGAAGCCATCACCTGTTCATAACATTCAAGGAAAATGTAATACCAACTAGGAAAGGAAACACACATCCTCAAGACAGATCATTTCATTTCTTTTTCTGGGTCCAGAAGTGGACTGGAAAATGCTCAGTTTAGAATTAGGAGACATCCCTCCAGTAGGGAAAATTTTTTAAAGATGTACAAGGATGGCGGAGACACCATAGTTTCACAAACTAAGAGCATGTGTGAGGGTAAAATATTTGGACAGAGTAGGAAGGTGGAAAAGGTATGACCAGGCTGAGAGCCCAGAAGGCAAATAGCTTGAATTTTATCTTAAAGGTAAGATGTACAGTGCTAAATAGAATGAACTTAAGGAAGTTTAAGGGCTGAGATTCCAAAGGATACAGAGATGATGAAACAGAGTCCTTTCAAAACCTCAATGTCTACAGTCTTTCTATAGCATTAGTAAGGAGGCAAAGATGTACTCCTCAGAGAAATGGTATTTATTTCAAGTGTACGGTCAAATCTGACTGCAATTGCTCTAAAATAATGATTCCCACAGAGGTGGATCTTACAATTACACAATTGTCACAGTGAAGAACTTCCCAACACAAGTGCTTCACAGCACTTACAGTGAAGGGGACCTCAACATTCACTGACTGTGCTACCTGACTTGTCACAATTATACTATGGCTGCCAGGGGTTAAGGCAATATGTACTCCCACTTTGCTCATTAACTGATGTATCTCTCACTGAAACATGAGGAAAAGTGAAACTTGGGTAAACACAGAGCCAGCTGTAACACAGAAAAATGTTATTCTTTTGTTGACTTTTTCGTCTACTGTAAAGACACACTAACAATTGAGTAGGTCCGTGGATTTAAACTAGTAGCAGAGTGAGCACTCAGCATGCATGAGGTCTGGGATTCAATCACTAGCACACCCCTCAAAAATATTCTAAAAATGATATAACCTCTCCAAGTGCATTTACCTGTATCTCTTAATGAATCTTCTTTAATAACAGCTACCTCTAATTTCTTGTAAAATGACCAGAAATAAACTTTTTATTCACTAAGTCTTCACTGTCAGAAAATCTTCCCAGGTTTTTAAAATACTTACTCAGAAAAAGACCAAGAAATCCTGATGGACAGTATATTGTGATGGTATTTTGCTTTACAAATAGAGCTATTTTTTTTCTAAAACATAGCAGCCAAAAACTGAATAACCTTTCTCATGGAAACCTAAACCAGAAATGTGAACAAGCATGAACCCCAATCCTAGGTGTCATTTTAAATATAAAAATTGAAAGAATTCTAAAATTTGAGTGCACTTATATGAGCCTAGGAAAGCATAAGACAATGACCTTTGCTGAGAGGCATACCATTCAGCCATGAACACGTGACGCCTTGAACAGAGGAGACACTGCATGGAGTCACTAGTCCACTAGCCAAACTAATAAGCCAGAGGGGCTGGGGATATGGCTCAGTGGTACAGCTCTTGCCCTGGGTTCAACCCCTAGCACCAAATAAACACAAAGAAATAAACAAAAAAAGACATTCACACAGTTCACATTTTACATCTATTTAACCTGCACATATTAAAATCATGTTACCTTCTACCTGTTTCAGCACAAAATACAAAAAAAACCCCAACATTTTCTTGATTGTTATGTTTCATGAAAAGCTCACCAGCTTCCCCTAAGTCAATTCTATCTAATCATGTACCAAAGGATCAAAGCCTTTCATCCACCATTCCTCTCCTTTTTCTCCTATTCAGGATTTCTTATCCGACACAAGAAAGAGATGTTGAGAAAGAGGCAAGACAGCAAGTGTTCTTCATGGAGACAGAATTGAAAGAATTCCAAACTTTGAGCATAGCACCCCTGGCCTCAGCGCAGTCAACTCTCACATCCTGGTCATCTCTCTCCCCATCACACTCCCACAAAAATTCTACCTTATTTTGTCACTCCCTTATCCTCTGAAGGAAGTTGGCTCCTAGTAACAGAAGAGACCACAGTAGTATACAAAACATCCAAAAAAACAGGATTCCATATAGATCTACAGCCACACCAGGTCAAAGGGTTCCTTTATAACCACTCCCCAGCCTTGGAGAGTCGGGAAAATTGAAAAAGTTGCTTGCTTTGACTAGGAGCAATTATTGTCCCTACTAAACAATAAATGAGCAAACGAACAAAACCATATTGTCTATACTGTCTGAGCAAACCCAGATTCACTTCCTATCACTAGAGAGGGGAAGCACAGGTTCAGTTCTCTAGACATCAGGAAAAAAAATCGACACCCCTAATCGCCAGCATCTGTGAACTCACAGAGGAACCTGGTGGTGAGTAGATTCTCTAGAAATACTCATTTCCATACCACTCTAGCTCTCATTTCAATACCATGTTCTAAATTCTAAATTTATTGCATGATGAAAAGAATAAAAATTGTAATTACTGGGTGCTTTTAAAATAAAATGGACTGAATTTTTTTGGATCCTAGAGTTTCTCACTTTATATTTCAACAGCATAACTTCTATTAAATAATAGTTGTCTTATATTTAAATAATTTCTACCTGATACTATTATGTAGAGAAAGCATTAAGTAAATTGCTATAGTCTATGAATTTGTATAAATAAGTCATTCATTTAAAACAAGTCTATTTGTCATTAGGGGTAACAGCACACACTTGTATTCCTACTGACCCAGAGTCTGAGGCAGGAGGATTGCCAGTTTGAGGCCAGCATTAGCAACTTAGTAAGACACTTTCTCAAAAAATAAAAAGAACTGGGGATGTAGTTAAGTGGAAAATTGCCTCTGGATTCAATCCCCAGTACCCAAAAAAGTAAAAAAAAAAAAATTAATAACAGTTCTATTTGTAAAGCAAAATACTATCACAATATACTGTCATTTCAACCTCCTTGCTACTAGAATATAAAGAGCATAAAGTGCACAAGTACCTGAAAAGTGTCTAGCTCAAAAAGTACACCAGCAGATCTTCTGTTTAATAGTTGGAAAACAAAAGTTCAAAGCTTACAATTATATTGTCACAATCAAAAAGCAGTAAATCACATAGCCAGGTCCACTTCCTCCAATACACAGGGAAAACTAAATGACACATTATGTGGGGAAAAATAAATAACACATTAATTATCCAGTTTTCAAAGAAAACTCAATGCACATAGGGAAATCATTTTTAAAAACAGCACATAAGTTCTTTTCAAAGTTAAACATACTTTAACAAAGTGATCTAATCATTTCTATCCTAGGTTAGCCAAAGGAAATAAAAGCACATATCAATATGTCTGTACAAAATGTATATGTAAAAGTTCATAACAGATTATATGTAATAGGAAAAACCTGGAAGTTCATTGTAGATCAATAAAGGGGAATTTTTAAAAGATTATGCACATACTTGATATCTGATAGTATTTCTAACTCTTCTTTATTCTGACCAGGTAGAAAGCCACTCTTTACTTTTACTCGATAGTAGATGTGATGAAAACTCAACACAGCCCCCTCAGTAGATGTCTGCAGGTCCCTGGAGGACATCCCGGGCAGGCCATCGGTGTTTCTTTGCAACATCGGGATACAAATTTGATTATCTCTGAAAGTCATCTGAGGAGTTTCTGCCTTCCTGTGGAGGCAAATGTAATGGTAGGTTGAAAGGGAAAAGAGAGGGGCTGGGGATGTGGCTCAAGTGGTAGCACGCTCGCCTGGCAAGCGTGCAGCCCGGGTTCGATCCTCAGCACCACATACAAACAAAGATGTTGTGTCTGCCGAGAACTGAAAAATAAATATTAAAAAAATTAAAAAAAAAAAAAAGAAAGGGAAAAGAGATCGTAAGCCCTTCGTAACAAACCCTTACATCAAGTCTATTTTAAACTGTGATGCAGCGAGTAGATTTCTTTCCAATGAACAGCCCACATCACTGTAATAAGAACAACCCCAGAACCCATAAAAGAGGCAGATAGAACTTTGAATCCCTGCACTCCAAATAGGTGTCAAATAATTTCTTCATAAGTAAATAGTTAAGAGTATGAAAATTATGCAGAATACATAAAGAAAAAGACAGACAAAGGTTACATTTGACTGGCTTGAAATGCATATTATGATACTACTTCAGTTCAGGGTCAATGTATATGCTGCCTATATTTCTTTTTTAATTTTTTAGTTCATGAAACTGTTATCACCCAAAGGGGCATAGCCTAGCAGTCAGGGACAAAAGAGCTTTCTCAGACTTTGTAGCTTCAGACTTTACATCTCTGGTTGTTATGCACCTTCAATCATCTAAAATGTAAACCCCAACATCCTCTGCAAAGATATACTCATTTCCCTAATGGGCAAACATATTTAAATTCTAGGATAATTTAAAATTAAGTCTCATTAAATAAATCAAACTAACAGTTAAAAAGCTCAAGACTTTAGAGGGAAAACTGAATATTAAATTTATAAATAATTTTTTAAAACTTTTTTTAGTTGTATGTGGATACACAATATCTTTATTTAATTTTTATGTGGTGCAGAGGATCGAACCCAGTGCCTTACGCATGCTAGGTGAGCACTCTACCACTGAGCCACAACCCCAGCCCTATAAATAAAATTTAAAGTATTTCATTGAACAAATTTCAAAAGTCCCCTTAGAAAGATTTAGATGAAGAAATAAAGGTGAACAGAAATTGTGAAAGAAGTTTGAAATATCATCTGTAATAAACCTAATTTTTATTTTTAAAAGCCAAAGGCATCCATGAAGAATGTTCTCTCTGCCTTTGGAGGACAGCTGCTCCAAATTAATCATCCTCCTGAGAATATGACAAGGGGTGTGTGAAGATTGTTCTGATGGGAGCAACAAAGTCACAGGGACCAGAGGAACCAAACTCCCAACAAGAAGGGAACAGCTCTGGGCAAGCCCAGCACCGATGCATTTTCCTCTCCAGGTATTTGCACACACGGGGTAACACTCAGGAAATTCATGCAGAAATAAGCTTCATCCTTATGAAGCCCCTCATGATCTAAGCACATATTTCAGCAGTCTCTCAGCAAGGGAGACAAAATTTTTACTACTGGGTCAGCAAATATAAGAAACCCTGGTGAGACCAGACTCAATTTGTTCAAGATGATCTTCTCAGACTTTGCTAGAAGAAAATTTAATCCACTCTCAAAGAAGCTATCATCATCCAAATTTTCAATCCAAAATTACCAGCCATGCCAGAAAACAGGAGCTCAGGTTCCAAAAATGAAAACACAGAAGTAGACCCAAAGGAAATCCAAGCTGGAGTTACCAAATATCGACATTAAAGCCACTGATTAATATGTTCAAGAAAATAAATAAAAGAGTGTTACTAAAGAATGAGAATCTATTTTTAAAAGTCAAAATTAAGAATTCAAGCTGAATGTAGTTGTCAGGGGCCACTCTGGACAGCAGCTTTGTATATACCTTTAAGTCCTGAGTAAATAGCTACTGGACTGGTGTTGCACCCATTGCAATACAGGTAGACTTTACCTCCGCTTGGATAAGAAAGGTGCAGCTCCAGGAGCGGGTACCACCCGATGGGGTTGAATTACACCCACTTGTTTGTTGTAACCCTATCCTTTGCCCTTTTTTTTGATAGAATGTTCCATGGACTAGCTCCCCCTATTAATAAAACCTGGGTTCAAGGCATGCTCCCTCTCTTTCTTGCTTGCCTTGCCTCCTTGGTGGAAGCTGGGTTAGAGGGGCCATCGCAGAACCCAAAGAAAAAGGTATTTCTCTGTGTGTCATTATTTCGTGCCAGCCCAGTTCTTCTGGAGTGACCCTGAGTGGTTTAGTCATGTGACACAGCATGTACTGGTACATAACAGCACTCCCAGCTATACCAGAGGCTGAAGCAGAATGACTCCAAGTTCCAGGCCAGCCTGGGCAACACAGACCCTCCCTGTCTCTTACAAGAAAATTAAGGGGACTAGGAATGTAGCCTGGTTGTAGAGCACATACAAGGTTGTGGGTTACATCACCATCACCAGAAGGGGAAAAAAGGAAGAATTCAGTGCATAAATTCAACAGTAGTTTGCACACAGATTAGGAATAATAATTAGTGAACTAGGACAGTGGTATCTAGAAAATCTCCAAGATGAAAATGGCAAATAATGAAAATCATCACCATGAAAAAAAAAAAGCTTTTGATTGGAAAAAGAGAAAAAAACCCATAAAAAGCCTAAGAACCATAGAATATGATGATAAAGTTCTCACATACATAACTAAGAAGTCTGGGAGAAAAAAAATACAGCAGAATCAATATTTAAAGAAATACTGGCCAAGTATTTTCCAAAACACAAAGGTATTAAGTCAGAGACTGAAGAAACTCTAGTTATACCAAAAGGATAAACACAAGAAAACCACACACAAACCTGACATAGCAAAACTGACAAAAAAAAAAAAAAAAAAAAAAAGCAATGTCCAAATAATTGTTTCTACACCCTAAAACTTAGCATTTACAACACTCTATTCATTTTGGAAACTAAAAAGCAGAAACCTATTTAAAGACTGGCACCCAAGATATTAAAAGTAAACAGCTGGGTTTTTATGTGAACACAGTGAATGATAATAATTAGACAAAATTCTATTCTCCTGAAGTACTAAAAATGAAGAAACAAGTAATGTAGGAACTTTACACTTTTACTTTAAAAACATAAGCCATCTCCCCGGGGCTTCAGAAACCAACATATGCCAATTCCAACACTAGGGATCTCTTCCCCTACTGCCACCCCACATGATGTTCAGTCACTGAGGACATTTCTTACCTCCAAAGATGTATTAAGAGAACCAGGTAACATATTGCTTAATTTTAAATAGCTCATTGACTCAAGATGGAAATGAGACTTTGGTGAGGTTTACCACTAATATGAAGCAACAACTGGAACTAAAGTACCCAGGAAAGATCACCCATACCCATAAAATTCAAGTGGGCTAAAACTTCTCAATAACAATGTTAGGCATGTGTATACACTTTCCCTCCCTGTGAATGGATTAGGTCCACTATTCATATTGCTGAGCAGCTTCTTAGTTCCTCACTAGGGTTGTAACAATCCTACTCAGAGAGAAGCAGCCCCCGGTAATTCATAGGTCACAAGCCCAGTGGTCAGACAGGTCTGACCCAAGCCATTCAACTGAAATACATTGCAGCAAAAAGAAAGGGAGAGGGAAATAAAGAGAAGGAAAACAAATGTATTTCTAAAACCAATATGAACAGTGAATTATCCTAAGATGAAATGAAAAATATAGTAAGGATTTTAAAAACGAAGGAAATGGGGGAGGGGGGAGGACGGGAAAGGCAGCGGAGCACAACAGACACTAGTATGGCAATATGTAAATCAATGGATGTGTAACTGATGTGATTCTGCAATCTGTGTATGGGGTGAAGGTGGGAGTTCATAACCCACTTGAATCAAAGTGTGGAATATGATATGTCAAGAAATTTGTAATGTTTTGAACAACCCACAATAAAAAATTAAAAAATAAATAAATAAATAAAAATAAAAACGAAGGAAATATATCTGGTACAGTGGCACACTTCTATAATCCCAGCAACTTGGGACGCTGAGGCAGGAGGATCAAAATTCTGTGTCCAGTCTGGACAATTTAACAAGACACTGTCTCTCAAAATAAAATTTAAAATGTTTGGAATATAGATCAGTGGTGGAGTCTTCTTTAGCATGCATGAGGCCCTGGGCTCAATTCTTAGTACTGCAAACAAAACAAAACAGTTTTCTCTACTTTTTAGTTCTTACCATGCTCTAAAACCAAAGTGCAAAATTAGTTTTTACACAATGAAAACTGCACATAGGAGAGAAAAGGATGCAGGTGGAGTCTACATCTTCTGCCAGACATCCACCCAGTGATAACTACTGCATATGTTGGTAGAAGGAAAGGCAGCTTCAGACCAAGAGCTCAGGGCCTTCCCGTACATTTTTTCTCTAGGAATAATACTTGTAAATGGAGAGCAGCTCTCTGCCTTATAGCTATTTATCAGGAAGCTGCTTAAGCATATACCTTCTTAAACTGCTGCCTCAGATTACTGCCAAGAGATCAGACACCTGACAGGGAGTTAGGAGCCTCAAGTCACTTTCTAGTGGTTGCTCAAATTTGAACAAGAACACAAAACATGAATTTAATTTTCACAAATTAGCCCTTGCATCTAAAATTTTTTTATTCATCGGTGATTGTCATTTTTCTTTCACAAGTTCACCCTAAAATTTTCACCAGAGGAGTTCCCAAAAGGGGGGATCTCTACCCATGCCAAGTGGGGTCCTTGGCAGTGATTTGTAGGATATGACATGATAAGAAATGGGAAGAGACCCTATTATGAAAGATATTCATGTTTCTTTAAAAGCTAGAGTCTTTTTATGATACTAATTATGTTTTTAGAAGAACATGGTGGCTGCTGTTCAGAGAACACTGGGAGAAGGGGAGGCTGGGGGCTAGTGCAGAAAACAGGACAGATAAGCTACTACAAGAGAATGGGCCTGGGTTATGGCCAAAAAGATGTCAAGTTGAAGGGTTCAGAGGGATATGATAAAGCATAGGCTTAGCACACTCTAAATTTAAAAAAATAAATAAAACAACTTGTAATCAATTAATTAACAAAATAAAAAGTATCA